GGCGGGCACCCTCAGAGCATGCTCCCAACCAGAGGAGGCGCCAGGACCACTCCCTGCGATGTATTTGCTCAGGGTCCCCACCCCTTGCCGCCTTCCCCACAGAGCAGTTTCCCTCACCACGAGGATTCTTCTGCCTGCCAGGAGGCGCTAGCTCCCACGTCCACCCTCCCCTTCGCTCACCATGAACGTCCCATCACCATCCGTCTCCAGCAGAGACATCCCCAGGTGCATGTTCAGAGCGGGATGAGATGAATTTCCCAGTGGATAGTCACCTGGTTTGGGTGAGGAGAAAATGAGGTCAGGGGTTCCCAGATGGGGGGTGCTTATGTTCAGGAGGATCATGGAAGTGGATGAGATGGGATTAGGGTTAGAGAGGATCAAGATAGAAGGGGCCTGGGCTACGGGGGCACAAAGGTTGAGGCACAAGAGGTCAAAGCTGCCGGGGTATTGAGGACAGGGGTTGGGAGTCTAAGAGTCAGACATCTTCTTACCCAAGTGGCCCTTGGCACATGGGGTGTTCGGGGGTCCCCCCACAGGGCAGCGATAAACATCCCCTCTCCGGTCGCCTGAAGGCCCATCCCAGGGAGCGCCCACCAGCATCCTGGGAGGAGGATGTGAATGCAAGCATGCCGGTGAGGCCGGCTGGAGGGAAAGGGCACTGGCATGGCACGTTGAGAGCCCCAGCCGCCTCCGCCTCCGCAAGATAGACCCGACAGGTAGACCCGCCTACCTCGCCTCCCCTTGCCCAGCACCGGCACAGTCCCAATCCTACGGTCCCCCCTCACCAGCGCTGTCCACCCCCAACGTGTTGTAAGACACTGTATCCAAATTCAGCCTCCGGTGGCCCTGAGAATAGGCGTGGGTGATGCACATCCAGGTTAAAGGGGGAGCAGAGACCTGGGGGCCCAGGATCACGAGGTTAGCATGGCGTGGTCGGAGAGGCAAACCAGAGCCCAGAGCCCCTGCCACAAAGTGAGCCGCCGCGGTCAGTCCTCTGCCCAAGCCTGACTCACAGCCCTCCAGGCTTCCCTCAATGCAGTGCACTCAGAGCCCCAAGCACAGATGACCCCCTTCCTGTGTTTGGACCCCGAGGTCTAAGCGGTGGCCCTCCGCCATGCTGGTGCACAGCTGTGTTTCCACTCCCGCCCCGGAATCTCATTCACAGACGTGTCTGGAGAGTCAGCCAGTCCGCTCCTGTCCACACCGTTCCTCCTACACATCCTCCTCCTTAAATGACAGAAGGCCTTTCTGCAGCACCCCACCCACGCAGGCACTCTTTTCAAATGCTCCCAGCCAGGGCCACAGGGGGGGAGGTGGAGGTGGGGGAAGTAAGGAGCCAGGGGACCACTGTGTCTGCATCCTTCTCTTTCCGTCTCTTCTCAACTCAGTCATTGTCACTCACTCTGTTCCTGCAGTGTTTAGGTCTCTGGTTGATCCCAGCCCTGAAATCCTCAGTGGTAATTAAGTGGGTGGGGCCACTCGCCTGCCCACACACACATGGTGTGCCATCCATCCTTGCCAAGGGTCTCACCACCCACTAAGTCCCCCACAGCCCTCTTCCTTTCTAACTCACTCACACTCCCTCCTGCCCCTCTACCTACCTCCATGGCTCCCCCAACCCTTGGCCACTTCAAATGGCCCAACCACCTCCTGCTGACTCTTCCCTCCCTGCCCCAACCCTTTCAATCAGAGAGCGTGGGTATTTTAGGAAACAAAGATTACAGGGTGAGGAAATAGTCTCTCCCTTGCCCCTCCCGGGCTCTTTCCCCAAGGCGCTCTGCTCCCCTCCAGGCCACCCGGCCACCACGACTGTAGCTGTGCCGTTTTCTAAAAGGTATTTTACATGCGGCCGTTTTGTTTGTTTGTTTGTCTTGCATACAGGATACTGGCAAGGGCTGGGTGACCAAGGACGGTAGCTCGTTGGTTTGATACACCCAGAGTTGTGACCACATTCGTCAGTCAGTTAAGCCTCAGAGACCACCAAGGTGGGTGGTTGGGGTGGGGGTGGATAATAGAAACAACTGGCCACGTGGACGGTCACGGGAATGTTTCCTGTCTACATGCCCCTAGGGCTTAGGACAAAGGTTTTTGAAAACTGAGCAGAGATCCCATGCAAGATGCCAGGCAGCTCCAGCCCCCCAAAGTCTCAGTATCTAGTAATATGTGTGGGCGCAAGAGGTAAACATGCACATGCACACACACGTACAAGCGCGTGTGTACACACAGTCTATCAACAGGCAGAAAGAACCAAAGCCAACCTCCCACCCTAATTCCCCCCCCAATTCCAACCCTACAGATCCCACTCCCAAACCACCCCGCCTGTCTTCCACTGCAGCAAGGAGCGCAGCTCCCTCACCTGTCAGGAGCATCAGGGGCAAGGGCAGGTGAGGGATGAGGCGCAGCTCCATGCCTGGATGCCCGCCGCCCTCGGAGACGTCTTCTGTGCCCGGTCCCTCTCCTGGTCTGTTTTCCTTACTTTCCCTCCCATCCTGCCCCCTCCCACTGGCAGCTAAAAATAAACCGGGAAGGAGTGGGAGGGATGATGGCGGGGCGCTGTGGGGAGCCCTGGACCAAGGGCAGGTCCCTCCCTGCCTGGGTGCTGCCCCCTGGAGGCGTAGGCCCAACACAGAGAGCGCACACGCTGACCGCTTGAGTCTTTCTGCTTTAAATCCCTTGCTGCCTGTTCAGGGATGACTTCTTCAGGTTTGGAAGACAAGGCAGGAATAGGAGATAGATTCTATTTCATAACCTTATTTACTCCAATCTAGAGAAGGGAAAATGAAAGAGCTGAGTAAGAGTGGAAAGTCCCCGCGTTCCCCTCAAAGTCCCAACATGCGAAGACGTCGTCGCTGTGAGTTATGAACTCAGGAGCCTTAGGGGTCCCATGGCACTGTTCTGCTCGCGGCACTGACGCTGCACTGCCTGCTGGCCGTATGGCTTTTGAAGGGACTACCAACGACTGTAGCCGCCTTGGTGGCACAGCGGTTACAAGTTGGGCTGCTAACAGCAAGGTCAGCAGTTTGAAACCTCCAGGCACTCTGAGGGAGAAAGACCAGGATTTCTAACCCCGCCCGTAAAGAGTTCCCGTTCCGGAAACCCACAGGGGTGGTTCTACCCTGCCCTATGGGGTCTGCCTTGGCTCAGTGGCACAAGTTGAGGCGTTTTTGTTTTCTATCAAGGGTTGTGGAGTGGGTTTTGTGAAACCAGATCATTACTTTACTATCTTGCACGGCAGGACGAGGGGCCTCGGATAAACGGAACACACAGCACCAAATGGCGATGGGCAAACTGGACTTTAATTCGCTGACTTGGAAGGTTTGCTCTCTGTCTTGTGCACGAGCCATGGCTATTCACACAGATTCACTGTACAGTATGTACAGCAGGATGCTCGGTGCAGCGCCATTCTGAATAGGCAAAGAACAGGTAAGGACACACTGGAGAACGGATCTCTGAAATCAAAGTGGAAGCAGAAATCTGTCGGTGTGATTCAATTGAAGGATCAAGGCCAAGTCACAAGTGAGGCAGGTGAGGTAGACGTGAGAGGTGAAGAGGGGGTGCCGGGCAACTTTTGGACAGAGATTGGGGGAGAGTCTACTAAAAGCCACCTCTGTGAGAAAACAAAGGCAGTTAGAATCTTACAGATCAAACCTTCCCTCACTGCCTCCCCCCAAGAGGACCTGCCACTGCTGATTAAATTCCTAAGCAGCAGATGGAGAAGGCAGACGAGAGATGCATACACAGAGAATCTTAAATCAAAGAGAAACCGACAATTATAATACAGGAGGAAAAGAACAAAAGTTCAGGCAGGTTTGGGTATCAGAATCATCTACTTCAGGAGTCAACTTCTCTCACCTCACCATCCCCAACGGGTCTCCCTCCACTTTCCGATCTCTGGATTTTAACTTCGACCGAGGAGCAGAGTTAGAACCAGGCTGGTTGGTACAACAGGGCTCATCTAAGATGCTCTCTTGCCAATTCAGACCTCCTCCTAACCTTGCACCAGTGTGTCAGGGCTTGAGTCGTAGCCAGGGGCAGATGAGGGTGAGAATGGACAGGATAGAGGACACGAGGCCACAAAACCCCACAATACCAGGCCCACAGCGCCAGAGGCCTAGTTTGTCCAGTGGAATGAAGAGATCGCAGGCGTTTCTGACCACATCCAGCAGAAGCGGGGGATGACCTCGAAGGACCTGCACCAGGAGCAGGACTCGCAGCCGCAGCTTCACAGCCAGTTGGGGCAGGCCTCCTCCTGGAGTCCCTGGTCCCTGAGGACTCCCAATTTCAATTGCTTCTGGGACTCCTCCCCCAGAACCCTTTGACCGCCGGATACAAGCTGAAGACTCTTGTTCCATCAGGAGGCGAATCTCATAGGCATCCCGGCTCAAGTTCATGATGAGGGAAAAGAGATAGTACCTGCGATACACAAGGCACGAGGGTGAGCAAGAGCACATACACTTAAAATATCCCCAATTGAACAGTTCTTTCCCTTAGTGATAACAGGGACTACACATGGGAACACCAGACGAGAATGCTGTCACCCATCACTGGAAACATCTTTCCCCATGCCTGTGTGGACCTTCTGTTTCTGGTGTGAAATTAGTAAGCATCATTCAATTTTCGAAGACCTGCCTTAACGTTCACTCCCCATTTGACCACCTCTTAGTACACACACATCCAACTTGAGCGATCACAATGCCAACTCCTTTTTAAAGGGGTTTCAGAGACCTAAGAGGCATTATAGGCCTGGATGTGTTAGATTATCGATTCTTTAAGAACAAAGTATCTATTTTTTTAATCTTCCACTCCCTCCAAGCACTGACAGTACTGTCTTCGCTCCAAGACATGTCCTGAATCCAACTACGTCTCTCTGTCTGTCTGCCATCGTCATTTCTCGCCGGGACTGCTGCTTTTCCCCTTTAACTGCTCTCTCTGTGGCTGCTCTCTTTATTTTCGGTCTGAGTTCATTTACTTAGACAGCCTCAGAATCATGGAATGCAATAGCAACATACAGAGCAAGGCTGGGGAATTAGGTTGAATTGTTGTAGTCCATGCATGTAAATAAGTATTTTAAAGGGGGTAAAAGTAGATCTTAAATGCTGCATTATGGAGGGGTCTCGGGGAGGAGATGAGCCAGTCAGGGTGCGATGTAACAATGATGAGAAATACAACTTTCCTCTAGTTCCTAAATGTTTCCTCCCCGCTCCCACTACCATGACTCGAATTCGACCTTGCAAATCTGGCTAGACCAGAGGAGGTACACTGGTACAGATAGGAACTGAAAATACAGGGAATCCAGGGTGGATGAGCCCTACAGGACCAGTGGTTTGAGTGGCGAAACAGGGAGGGTAAAGGGAGAATGGGTAGGAAAGAGGGAACCGATTACATGGAACTGTGTGTGACCTCCTCCCTGGGGGACAGACAACCAAAAAGTGGGTGAAGGGAGACGTCGGACAGGGCAAGATATGACAAAATACCCATTTATAAACTATCAAGGGCTCATGAGGGAGGGGGGAGCGGGGAGGGAGGGGAAAAATGAGGACCTAATGTCGGGGGTTTAAATGGAGAGAAAATGTTTTGAGAAATGATGTACAAATGCGCTTTACACAATTGATGTGTGTGTATGGATTGGGATAACAGTTGTATGAGCCCCTAATAAAATGTAAAAAAAAAAAAAAAGGTAGGAGATAAATTCAAGCAATAAAGAAATGTAATAATTAAAAAAAATGCTGCATTATGTCTAATAACACATACATGTAATGAAGTGTATCTCACTTCATCATCATCATCATCATACTGCTTGATTTTCAGGCTGAATGGTTATAACAGCTAAGCCATTTCACTTACATGGCAGCAAATGCAAAAGCACCCTAAACAACTCCTGACTGCACACTGTTGGTTCCACAGCATTTCCTTATTCAGCTGGCCTGCCTCCAGGCAGAAGACGTGCTGACCTCTGTGGCCACGCGTCCCCCCTGTCAACCGTCAAATCTTGTACAGTAGCTGGCATACGTGTACATTACATAATCGTTTCTCTTCTGGTGGTTTTTATCGCTTCCTTCCTAACATATTTAAAATAACACCTGAACACAGGCTTACAGAGCCCAACAACACCTGGCCCTTGGATACCCCTCTAACTTCATCCTGTACCATTCTTTCCTTGAATGATGATGTGCCAACCACACTGGTGGTCTCTCTGTATTTTGATCCCAACAAGCTTGCTTCTGCCTTAGGGTCTTTGGGCAAATACCTGAAGTGTTCTCCCCACTGAACTTTTCACGTGGCTGGCTCTTTCTCTTGATATTCAGGTTTGAGTTTAAATGCACCTACCTCTTTGAAAAAGCTTACTCTTGCCCTCCTCCTTCCCCTAATCTACTCATTTATTCTCTACCATCTGTCCAATTAGCACTTACCACTATCTGATATTTTTCTTCTTCATGTCCATCTGTCTCCACTTATTAGAATGTACGCTCCATGACAGCAAGGGGTGTGTTTGTCGTTCCCACTGTGTCCCTGGATCAGTGCTGGTCACATACCAAAACAAACAAAACTCACTGCCACTGAGTCAATTCTGACTCAGAAATCCCGTAGGGCAGGGTAGAACTGCCCCTGTGAACTTCCGAGACTGTAACTCTTCACAGGGGTAGAAAGTCTCGTCTTTCTCCCTTGGAGCTGCTGGCGGGTTTTGAGCTGATAACCTAGCGGTTGGCTGCTCAGTGTGTAACCACTATGCCACCAAGGCTTCCTGCTGTGTGCAGCAAGGGCCCAATCCCTATTTGCAGAATGAAATGAAGAAACCTGGGCTACAGGCTCTTCTACAAGAGACGTGCTTTTCCTCTCACTTTGGCCAGCCCTATCTCTGCCTCCCATACAAGTTAAGTCATGTTACAGCTGTAGAACCCTGAATATATGAAGAAAAACAAATCAGAAACAGGAATGGAAAGGGAACAAACTTCTAATATGATTTTTAAAAAAAAGCAAAGAGAATCATAGGGGAGGCAAAGAAACAAACAGATGGTGTGTAAGTAGAGAATTAACCTCCAGAAATGTATTTCTCTCTACTTTCATGGCCACATCCCGAGTCCAAGCCAACGTCACCTTTTGCTTCTACCTTACTTCCCCTAGTCACACCTCCTGGGCAACTCTTGCGAGGAACAGTCTCAGGGAAAACAGTGAGTAGAAACGGTCCCTAAAGTGAACATTCAGGCTACGATGCTCTTGCCTCGAGGCCTGCACCTGCATGTTTTTATGCATGTCGCCATCCAAGCATCGTCCTATTACACATATTTTTCCCCACTGCAATCCATTTTCCACATTGTAGTAAGAGAGATAATCTTCAAACACTATTTGAATCATGTCACGTCTCTGCTCAGAATCTTTCAATAACTTCCCATTGTATTCAGAATAAAACTTAAGCAAAATAAAACAAAACAACCCGATCATTCACTGCCTCAAGGCCCGTGTGATCTGAGCCAGAGCTACCTCTCCAGCTTTGACTTGTGCCCTTGCTAGAGATCCAATCATATGTGTTATCATTTGTAAATTGTAAAATATGTGCTGTAAATCCTAACCTCGGGTTTTATTCCCATTTGGAAAGGCTGTGTTTGTTGTGTTCCTGAGGCAGAATTAGTGCAGGGTATCTCTTGAGTAACCTCTTGTGAAATATAAAGAAATGAAGCAAGCCAGAAGCAGAGATGGAGTAAGCTGAGGTAAGATAGAAGCCAAGACACATGGTGACCTCCAAGGAGCCAGGAAGCAAAAAGAGGAGAGACAAGGACCTTCCATTCCCCCAGAGTCAAGAGAGGAGAAGCCTTCCCCTAGAGTTGGTGCTCTGAATTCAGACCTGGAGCGTCCTAAACGGGCAGAAGATAACTTTCTGTTTGTTAAAGCCACACCTTTGGGGTACTTCTGTCACTGTAGCACTAGACAACTAAGACAAGTCTCTGCCGAATATTGCCCACCACACTGGCTTTGTATTTTTCTAACTGCTGAGAAAAATGTCCTGTTCTGCTTTGAAAGACCTTTGCGCCTCTTTGATTTGGCTAACTTCTACTTAGACCACACAGAAGAACTGAAAGAATCTTTTCCATCCTTCAATCTAAATTAGTTCCCCTTGTCATATGCTCGCATAACACCCTGGGCTTTACCACAGATATATCTAAATGCTTATATTGATTTCAATAATTGATTCCTCTACTAGATTGTATGCTTCATGAAAGCAGAAATATTATTATCCTCTGGCGAGAAGCAAGCATCTATTTTTTTTTAAAGGAATGAATAGGAAGTGAGGTGAGCCTGTGGTATAGATAATAGCATTAAAGCAATGTAGTAGCATCTCTTCATCACTCATCTATCTTCTATCTGCTCCCGTTAGTTATTCTCTAACAGTTTAAGACTTGCATGCATACTAGAGGCTAAGTAATTGAATCAACTTGCATGCTCTGGGAAGAGCTGGTGGAGGGTCTTCCTTTCCTAAAAGGCAAATCCTGCAGTATAAAGCAGACAAAAAGTCTTGATGTTGGAAAGGATATCAAACCTGAAGGAGCGTTGGGCCCACTTCTCCTGATCCACACGGGGAGCCAGTCCAGACTTCCCAGCCCACAGCACATTGTCACAGGCGAAGTACAGGGCTCTGTTGAGGTGACTGACAGTAATGCAGAACCTCAGGACAACATCCGAGAGGTGCACAGCTCGTTTCGCCGACTCGAGGGCATCTGCTGAGTTTCCCAGGCGTAGGACTTTGGAGGTTGCACAAGGAAAAGCCAGGAGTTGGACGTAGAGGCCGACAAACAGCGGGATGGAGAGAGAGAGAGGGAGCAAGAGTGAAAGTGGAGCAAGTGACAGAAACAAACAAAAAGGAGAAACGGTCCATTATTTTCCAGTTCAAGATTTTGTTTATTTTTGTCCCCGTTTAGTTTTCTCGAATGGACTCCCATCCTCTCCAGTCGTTCATTATTCCCACATCCCTACTGTCTTATCCTGGTTGGGAGGCGGGCAGAAGTTAACTCCGGAATGTGGGAGAGAAAATGGTGAGCGTCAAGGAGGCCCTAGCAGCGCCTGGCTGGAGGCGGAGGAAAGATTGAGGCGATCGAAGGAAAGGCATGTCTACTTACGTTTTCTCCCAAGACTCAAATGGCCCTCCAATTGTCGAATCTGCTTCTGCAACTCGGGACTGGCCCCGTGTCTCTGCAGCGCGTGGCCAAGCAGCGCACAGGCATACTGAGCAGCCCTGGAGGAGAGGGCAGCAGAGAAGCCGGAAACTCCCTAAAACAGTCTCCCCTAGAGGCAGGGCATTCCCCCCTCGCCCTTTTCTCCTCTTCAAGCCCCCATCTCACCCGTCTCCTGCGAGCCAGGGGAGGGAGACAAGGGTCAAAAGAGGGCTAAAGGTCACAGCTCAGGCTGTACACATGGGGTCGCCGTGAGGGTTGGAATCTACCCACTGAAGCCACCACAACGAAGGACGTGGGGAGCCCTGTGCAAAGCTGGGAAAATAAGAAAGTGGGCAAAGAGGAGGCCAGAAGGACCAGCGAGGGCAGCAAGGGGTACACGCAGGTGCACGACATGCTGTGAGCCTGGGTGTGGGGTGTGGGGTGTGTACACTAAGTGGGGGGCAATATATGCCTCGTGGTAGATACGCGATGAGATTCCCAGGCCCCCCAGCTGAATGGACACCAGAAGGCAGGGCGAGGGCCGAGGAGTTTGCCCGGGACAGCAGAGGGCAGGGCAGGGAAGCAGGGGGCGCCTCCTCCGTTCTGGGGACAAGGTCCGAGTTGCTAAACACCACGGGGGAGAAAGCCCCCATTCTCCCATCGCCCAGTGAGGAAGCTGTGGTGTCCCTACTGGCCCACTCATGCCTCAGTTTCCCCATCTTTCCCGGGAACAGAAACGAATCATCCCACGGGTCCGTTCAAATCTGAACCTCGCGGTCCGTCCGGGCCCCCGTAGTCCGCGTTGACCCTGGGTGACCCCAGCGGTCGGAACGGACCTAGCCTCGCGAGGGTCTTCCTCGGACGGCGCCCCGCCCCGCCCCCAGTTCTCCTCGGGCCGCACCTGCACAGCCGCTCCCGGGCCTGGCTCTGGGCACTGAAGCGGACCCAAGCGTCCATGACAGCCGCGACCCGGCTCCACTGCCGGCCCCGCCCCTCGCCCCGCCCCTCGCCCCGCCCCCCGGGCGGCCCAGACGGCGCCTCGCGAGGGACAAACGGCGTCAGACCCGCGAGCGGGTGGCGGGGTTTCGAAAATGGAAATCCAGGACGAGAGGCTCTTGTTTCTAGACCTCCATCTGCGCGGGGTGTTTCTGCGCGTGTTTCCATCTTCACGTTTCTTCATTAGGAGGTCTCGATTTCCACCGCGTACTTCAAGAGGTGTGTTCCCCTTTAAAGCTCCTGGACCAGAGGCGGGGCCTGCGCTGTGGGGGGCGGGGCGAGAAAGCACCGCAGCGGTCCGGTCGCGACTGGGGGCGAAGGGTCCGCAGACCGAGAGATGCACCGAGCCGGCCGCCCCCAGCACAGGCCCAGGCACGCGCGAGTCGGGCTGGATTCTGGGGGCGAAGGTCTATGATCGTGGGAGCCCGGAGCCTACTGACCCGTCTCTCCCCCGGGAAAGGAGCAGGCCCCCACCGGGCCCCGGGTCCCTGCAGGACTCAGAAGATGGCAGGATGACCTCCACCAGTACACCGACGGAGACTCTCCCGAGACCGAGGCTTTAGGGGGCAAGATCCGCCGGAGCCGCCTCCCCATCCTAAAAGGGAGGGCAAAGAATCCCTGCTGGAAGCTAACTGCTTCGCATTCACGTTTCATTCCTCCCACCTTGTCTCTCAGGCCACCATGTCGTCGGGCAACGACACGCCTTGGGGGTCAGCCACAGGGGAGGAGATCTGGGCGGGATCCGGAGTGGAGGTGGAGGGATCCGAGCTACCCACCTTCTCGGCCGCAGCCAAGGTCCGAGTGGGAGTGACCATTGTGCTGTTTGTTTCTTCAGCCGGAGGGAACCTGGCCGTGCTGTGGTCAGTGACGCGGCCGCAACCCAGCCCGGCCCGCCCCTCTCCGGTTCGGCGACTTTTCGCCCATTTAGCAGCCGCAGACTTACTGGTCACTTTTGTGGTTATGCCTCTAGATGCCACCTGGAATATCACGGTTCAGTGGCTGGCTGGGGACATCGCATGTCGGACACTCATGTTCCTGAAACTAATGGCCATGTATGCTGCAGCATTCCTGCCTGTGGTCATTGGACTTGACCGCCAGGCAGCAGTACTCCACCCGTTTGGACCCCGCTCAGGCGGAAGGAAGCTTCTGGGGGCAGCTTGGGGACTTAGCTTCCTGCTGGCCTTGCCCCAGGTGAGTGAGTTGGGACTGTGGGCTGGGTTGCCCTGGGCATTTTGGTGCACAGCATGAGCCTGGGGCGTCAAAGGTATGCTTGATCCTCCTAACTAGAGTGCCATCAGTTTTGCAAGATCATTGGCTTGTTCACTTGCATCTCTATCCGGAGCTTGCCTTTAAAAAGTGCCTATGTCTGTCTCTGCCTCTGCCTTCAGCTTCACTTTACCACACTTGGTTTTCACCGCTCTCATTCTCTCAAGATCCACCCCCTTCAGGACATCCGGTGGTGAGGAAAACTGGCAGCCAGGAGAGATACATAAGTGTGCCGGTTTAATGAAAAGGCAGGAGCTTTAAGCAAAACTTTGTGGTCCTCTCACTAATCCATTAAAAAAACACACATCATCATCTCTAGGTAACCCAAGTGCTAAAGATAGAGCAGGATAAAGTTGCGCTTTCTTCCAGCCCTTTGTTGAAGGAACCTCCTACTCTTGTGTTATTGGAATCTGACTGACTTCGTTTAAATGGTTTTCAAAGAGATATTTTCTTAAGCACGTTACCTTTCCTTTTTCCCACATCACAGTCTTCAACGCCCAGCCACACAGCCACCCCTCTCCCAGGACCCGCCTGGTCTTAAACAAACCAGCCAAATCCTGAGAGGACTCGAAAAATAAACCCATTCCAGAGGTGAATCATCCTTTCTTTTCCCCTCTAACTTTCTTTTCTTTTCCCTCTAACTTTCTTTTTAAAAGCTCTCCCGTCCTCTCTCAGTGGAATTGGAGCTCTGGCTTTGTCACACACACACACACACACACACCCCTGCTCTGTGGAGACACTCCTCC